CCGACTGGTGTAGGTAACGAGGTTCTGATATTAACTGAACATCTCCAATGAAAGGCATGGAAGGGTAGTATAAGTGGTATAAGGGTGAAAATGAGGAGGACGACAAAGGGAGCAATTAACTGAGGCGTCAGATCCTTTTTACTTTATTATTCAATCTGTACCTACTTAGACGTAATATCAGACGATAGAAACTTGAAAATACAAAGTTAAGAATAAATGACATGGCTCTAGCGTCTTATTAGATGATTCTGTTTTGGAAAAATATCGCAGTGGCAATTTATAGTAGAGGATATCTCAATGCGCTAACCACGTTGGAAAGGGCATTTGTTAGAGATATACAACGTACAACATAAAGCGTAATAGTTACAATAATTAATTGCTCTATCTATGAAAATTCCTATTTGTTAAAATTTTTCTATAAAAGTGAAAGATCAAGAAATGACATAATAAAAATGTTGTATTTTTGATACCGTTGATACAATCAGAATGCTTCCTAAATTTCAATTCTAATACATATTTTTATGCACGACCGGGCGATAAAGTCCGGGTTATAAATACGTTTAGCGGGCGTAAAGTGCCCCTTTATCGCCCTCCAACTACTTAACCGCCCGCTGGTATTAATATTTTTTTTATAAATCAAAAAATATTTCCTAAATAGAAGAACGCCCCGTATATGAATGCTTATAAGCACATGCTCATCGTTTCTTTGCTAACTTCTGTCAATTCTGTCTCTGTCTAATTTCAAATCAGAACTGTGTGTAGTCGGGATGTATAAAAGATAAAAGAGAGGCGGCCAATTTATATCAAATTGCAGCAGCAAATATCTGTAATATTATTGCTGGGTCGAAATTACTGTTAGCTAAAGAGCAAGGAAGCAGTTTTGCAATAGTTTAGGTTTTTTCCATTTATTAGACAAAATTGCAGACTTTCTCGTATACGATATCGATTGTCTAAATAATATAAATCATGAGAAAAGTATTTGAAATGTAGTGCGCAATAAAGTATAGTTGATTATATCTATTATTGACCTTCAAGGGGCCGCTTCTTATCATAGGTACATCAACATCTTAAATTCCAAAGTGATTTTCTTTTAAAAGTTTAAAATATTACCTTCTGTTATCAAATAATTAACAGACATTCTCTCGAGTTAAGTTAATGCCATAAAAACAACTTCAATCGATGTTTATAAAAGGTTAGAAACTAAAATAATATAAAATGAAGCTGTTGAAGTAAATAAACATCTTTAAAAGACCTCGAATTGATTACTTTGTATAAAATAAAGGTTATTATAATTAGCAGACTGTAAAAATATGTATTCAAGCTATTTATTTTCATCACTTGATAATTATCCATTTTTAGCATATAATAAATTACTCTACAAAGAAATAAGAGAAAGCTAAATATCATAAAATCGTCACTTTTATTACTGCTAAAAGAAGGTTTCATGTAAATTAAACAAAACCACTTATAGGTTTTTTTATGAATTGGCATACACGAGGACAGAACCTAAAGTAAAAAAAATAACAGGGGTGCTGGTACATATATTTGACTGAAACTTTTTAATATCTATTTCAATCACTGTTTCCTGAATAATTAATGTCCTGGTAAAATGAAAGTTAAAAATATCCTCCTGTTGGAACAAAAACAGCAATTTTAAATCTATCTTTAGGATAACCATCCTCTAACTGTCAGATAGTAAACAACAACTATTTTCGCTTGTAAAGATATAAACAATCAATAACTACAGTATAAAGTGACAGTTGTCAGTGTCAAAAATGAAAAAATGGATGTGTTTTTTGAAATCGATATTTTTGAATCAGATTCTGACGACGATATAGAGAATATCGAAGATTTTAATAATAATACTCTCCCCGTACGACTGAATTTTGACTCCAGAAGCTGAGCTATTATTATTATTTGCTGTGACTTAAAGATTGATTCACTTTAAATTTTAGCGAGTTCACATTAATAAAGCATAAAGGAAAAATAGTAATAAGATATTGCAAAAAAACGAGAAGAATGTGTACCTAATTGAATCTATTTAAAAAAAATTAAACTTATGAATATAGTCGATCAAAATATACTTTGAAATGGAACACCCTGTATTCGAACGGTTAATGTCGTAATAGCAGAGAAAAAAATCTTACACTGTTATAAATGCCAATAGTAATAACCACTTAACAGTTGTCTTAAATAAGACCAACTCTGAACTGTCTAGCACATTAAACATATGGAGTGCCTTAAACCCATTTATTGTATTATTGGAAGCTACCAGGCCATTGAACTGTCATCGTCTAACAATTTTTCAAGTAGCCTACGATATTTATCTAGACACTTGAAACGTTAACTGCTGATTTTAAAAAGAATCCTGTACTATTATGTTTGAATTCTACAGGAGTATCCAAAAAAGTAGTTGATTTATTACTTTAATATTGCTGAAAAAAATTATCGTTACACAATTTTATATTACTTAATGAAATAAAAAGTATTTTAGACAAGTGTAAGGGAATAATAAAACATATTTATGATCTTATGAACTTTTACTATTTCGTCCTTTTCCAGGAACTCAAATTGCTGAAATTTGTTTAAAGACCCAACCGGTAATAAAGATGAAACACGTAATTCAAGACAATGTCTATGTGAACGTTTCGTAAAAAGAATAAAAATAACCGAAGCAAAATAAAAACAAAAAATAGCGACTATTACTCAGTTGTCTGCAGGGCTGATTTTATATCCTTGGAGTTCCTGTTTCTCACAGATTTGCATTTTGTCAGACGCCAACTCATAAAAGAGCACGAAGAAACTATTTTGATGAGTTTAAATGATCCGTGATATTTTTGTGCTAACTTGGCGTTAAAAGTTTGACACGAACGTAATTGGTACGATTCTCGTACATTTTTCAGACATTTTTTTATTTCGTGAAACAAAATTCACAATTTATCGCAGCTAAATATACAAGGTGAACCAAAAAAGAATAATAAATATTTTAGAAGGTAATATAACAACGAAAATTAAGGTAAGTCTAAAAGAAAAAGAGCAATTTTTTGTTTTTAATTATTAATATTTCCATAAAATTTTCTTTTTTGTCTTTTCTCATATTCTCCAATATTATCGATCTCTATTTAACATGTTTTTTTCTACTAGGTATTGTTATAAATATTTTCTGTCTGAGGAAAGTAACATTTTTGGATAAATATTTCTTTTATTATCAAAAAGTCTGTACATTTTCTCAAGATATTCAAATGGTTTGTAACCCCGGTTAGTTTTGTTTTTGTTAACTATATGTATATTTTTTATATCCCCTTTCAATGACTCTCCACCTGTTTTCAAAATTATTATTGGTGGTCTTAACTTCTACAGTAATTATTTCAAATATCTTTCCAAATTTCTTTTTTGAAATGACTTTTATATTTAAGGGGTAAAGATTAGTTAGAAAAATTCTTATAACAAAGCATATGTAATCGATTACTTAACATCAGAGGAAAAAATGGATATTCCAATTTGATTGCCTAAATTTTTTTAACAGTATTTCTTTATAATTAGTCTAATTTGGATTTTAGAATGTGTTGAAGTTTCAGCAGACATCACTATTATTCTTGACCCATAGAAATGTCATGAGAATCAAGAAAGACAATGAAAATCACACTGAATTGTATAATAATGGTTCCATTACGAAGTTATGGGAATACATTTAAAGAATGTATTATGAAAATTTTACAAATAGAATTTTTAAACGTGATCCTTTCATATAATTTCATATAATTGATTATTTTTTGTACTATATATTTTATTATAAAGAAAAATACTGGAGGAAAGTTGCCCAAAAAGAGACGAATTAGGAGAGGAAACATAAATGTGTTACATTTCTCTAAATAGAGAGCAAATTGAAGGTGTAGCATTTGAAATGGCACTTAAAAGGTTTGAGCTTTTAGAGAGGAAACTTTTAGCGAATGGTAAACTTGAGACGAATTAACTAAACTTTATAACAGAGTAGCCGCAGGAAAATGTCCAGGTAGAGGATACATGGACTGGAAAACCTAATGGGAAACTTTTTTTTTTTGGATTCCTAAGTTACTTATCCTGTTGATGAAATTTTATGGTTTTATTCTTTTGACGGAAACACGTTCGTTCATTTACGGTTGTTACCGAGATGGGGATAACAAGAGGAAAATTAAAGGAATTTTGCTGTTTTACCAAGTAAATATTGTGTAATATGTCTTAACATTTAATATTCAGGTTTTGTGTGAATTTAAAATACTAAAAACATGTAAATATAAATGGCTTCATTATTTCGTAACGACTAAATCAAAAATGAATTAATAGAACTCAATTTGTTGTAATTTTATCAAATTTTTACTGTAAATCATCTTCATGAAATATATTACTGAATTTTTTACCTGGAAGTCAATATATAAACATTTTCAAGAAATTTTAACTATTATTAAGTTAGAAAGATGGCATTATAAAACTATACAGTGTGTCCAAATTATGTTCCAATTCGACCCCTAGACCTCTCAGCTAACGCGGGTCCTCCATAAGGATTTAACTTAAAGGAATGATTTTATGAGGTTCGTTTGAAAGTGTTATGGTGACCCACATTTCTTCTACTCGGGTTAGATGTAGAAAATCATCCTATATAATTAATTTCAATAACTAAAAAATATACTGACAATGAGTTTGACTTTTATTAAATTCCGCTTACTACAAACGATGAAGTGTGTACTAATATAATTTAAAGAAATGTAAAATAATTAAAGTAAGTTTAATTTATGATATATAAAATACTATATTTCTGTTTTGTTTCACTATACCAATAACTAAAATTAAAACGATTTTTACTTATTATATATTATATCATAAAAAGAACGAATAGTTCATTCTGAATTCTAAAAATTGTTATTTTTCAACTAATCACTTCACTTACCGTTTCATAAAAACCTCTAGAACAAACTATTTAAGTAGTTTATCAATTTGAAAAGTAGAAAACAATCATTACTCACCGTTTCGCTAAAGTGATCTGGCTCCTTCATACCATTTCTCTTCTGAAAGGTCCCTCCTGAAACAAAAAAAGCACTCTATTCAACAAAGTGATTAATAGAAGAATAAGTATTGCTTAAAGTCTTTATGCCAAAGCTATGTGAATAAAACCGGAAAGTATTTTTTTTTTAATAAAAAAAATTACTTAAATTGAGAGATAAACGGTGGTGTATTTTTCGGATGTCGACAGTTTCCTTGATTTACTTTTCCATTTACTGAAAATTTCTTGAGAAGTGTGCTACCAGCTCTCGTTGGGTAGGTGAAATCAAATAATTATTAAAAAAAAAAAAAATACCTGCATACATTTGTACGTATTTCAATAGTTAATGAAGTTTTATTAGATTTTTACTAGATAATTAGATTTAATTTTATTACCGTTAAAAATATTCAACCTATGCACAACAGACCATAAAAATTTATTCAGTTCTGATAGATCAAAAGAACTCTTTTCCTATTATAGCAGGAAGAAGCATCATTAATGTGGAAGTAAAAATTCTCTTTGAATTCATGCAATTTCAAGGCCTTTCCTACTTCGCAAGATCATAATAATGAGACAGGAAGCATAAAGAAATATAAAATTGCGACTAAGCGTTAAAATTATAGTTGCAGTAGTTAGGATTAGGAATCAACGGCCCAACAATGTTATAATAATAATAGATGCTTGCGCATCCGGACTTATTCCATGGGTGTCGTCTACAGAAAATACGCAAAAGGGTATTATAATAAAGAAGGGTATGTCAGTGCATTCATATTTATTATGAACCACCAATAGGAATATTAAATGAAAATTAATGAAAAGAAAAATGTTTATGAGTTATTAAGAAACAAAATTGTTAAATATCTGTGTGATGTTACGGCTAAAGTGCAGAAGGTCAACCCCCGGATCGTGGATCAGGGCTTTTTTATTTAATACATTAAAAACTATTAATTAGGAAGATATAGTGGGTTGCACAATGCTTGGAAGAAAACTTAGATCAGTTATACTTTCAGCAAGACGGAGCTTTCCCTCATTACTGTTTAGAATTAAGGAAATATTTGTATACCGTTTTTCCAGAAGTTCTAATGAATGCACAGCTCGCTTCCCAGACTTGACCCCACTGGATTTCTTTTTATGGGGACATTTGAAGTATGTTATTTACAGGACACCACCATACAATTTATTGATGATTTATAGTCTATGTTTATGTATGAGAGAGTATTAAAATAATAAAGCGTTCGTAATCCATATAGGCGTACCACTTCTTTTAGTAGACAGTTAAAATATTTTTTGAAGTTATTCCTCGAGTATACACTTATAATTTCACCTAATTAACTTGCTTATAACTTCTAAACAGCTGAAAGTAAAAAAGTGCAATTTTTTCTAAAATGTAGGTATAAGGGTTTAAACTTTGACTTTTAAACAACGTTACGTTCATAAATAATAATTTTAATATAAAAACTTCTTCTTACCTACAAATCCAAATCAGAATCGAAATCAGAAGATGAACTGTCGCAACCAATATTTACAATGAGTGGCTCGATCATTTCATCAGTAATATTGTCCAACTTCCACATTTTCTCTTCTTCTTTAATTGTATGATTTACTGCCTTTTCCCAGTTTTCAGGCTTCACATTATTTACAGCCTCCAAAAACAACTGTTTAACATCACTCATTTTAAAAGAATTATTTTTTCTTGAAACTTCTCCCTTTATCTGTGCCCATATCAGTTCAATTGGGTTTACTTCGCAATGATATGGTGGTGATATAACCACCGTCATCCCACGATTTTTTGCAATTTCATCAATTTCATATTTTTTGAATTTCTCTTTATGAAGGGAACACAAATGATACAGTTCTTTTCTCACAGAACCGGGATGGAACTTAATATTCTTTGAATTTAGTCAATTCTGTAAATCTTTTTTTAACCACTTGGTTATGGGCATTTTTTCTATAAGTCTCGAGTGATAACTTGCATTATCCATTGCTATTATACAGTTCTGAGGAAGAAGATCTATAATTTGTTCGAACCACTCTTTAAAAACATCAGCATTCATGTCCTCATGGTAGTCACTGGTACGAGTAGATTCAAAAGTCAATAAACCACCTTTAACAAAACCGATTGAACTACCGATGAGCACTATTATTAGCCTGCGCCCCTTTCCTGATGGTGGATTTAAAACAGTAGATAAATTATTTAAAAAAAGCCTGTTTTCGACTTGTAACAGTTTCATCTTGCCAAAATTTATTTGGTTTATGTCTCTCTTTGATCCATGTTTCATCTAAATAAAATATATTTCTTCTTTGGTTTCTCATTTCTTTTATAGTCCTTCGGTAATTTCTTCTGCATACTACAATATCGCTTCTTTCTATTAAAATAGACTTTCTGGAATGCTTTTTCCATAGAAAACCTATTTCTTTTAAAAGTTTCCATAGTGTGCTTCTACTCATTTCAGGGTAATCCTTATCATCTCGAACCGTGGCAAGAACTTTGTCTACTGTCGGAAATTCTTTTCTAAAGAAGAACGCATGCACTTTCCTTCGAAGTCTTTCTTTCAAAAGATTTTCTAATTGAAATTTTGGTTTTCCTGGAGCTTTACGTGCTGTTTGAAACTCGCCACATTTCTCTTCTTTAACAACTCTGTAAATCGTAGATTTCCCAACACCAAGCGTACTACTAACTAATTCCACTGTGTCATCAACACTTTTACATAAATGTTTGTCTGTAAAAGATTTAAAACAATTAAACATTAATGTTTTTTCATTAACTGTTAAAGGACCGATTTTTTGTCGTTTACGCGGCCCTTCCAAATTTTCCATGATCACACTAGAATTCACACTGCACCTTGCAATTTGCAACTAAACGACATTTAGTAAACTGTCAAGATTACACAACTTGGACCTCCTTACTAAATGAAAAATCTATAATCGCATTTTCGGTGAAATTTGTTGGGAAGGTATTTATCTACTTATAATTCGATTACTGTAAGAAATTCTTGGAATTAAAAAAAACAAAATTGGCAAATAGGTACTTATTGAAAATAATCTCAAGATACGGCTATGTAATCTTTAATACACAGGGCTTTCGGCCTGTTCAAACCTTTTTCTATTGTTCTGTACAGCTTATGTTTATAAAGGACCAATAAAAGACCCAAAACTTGTAATAGCTCAGGTACATTTATTACAATTTTAGGAAATATTTAGATTCTGTAAAAATATTTAAAATGACCGTACTAAGTTTTGCATTAAAAATGCTGTTTTATTAGTCTTTCATACATAAAAATAGACTATAATAGAATCATAGAGGAATGTAATGAGAAATTTCTAACACCACAAGTCTTGGAATGCTTTTCAGAATATATTGTTGTTTAAATGTAAACAGTGAACTTCATAAACATTTGATTTAATTAAATTAATGTAAAGAGACCTTGTTATAGTTTAAAAGACGAAATTTTGTTGGTTTTTAAAAACATTATTTTTTGTGATAAGTTGTATTTTTTTAAATAATTATAGATTTTTTGTTTCGACATTTGTTTACTGCCTAACATCACCAGTGCTTTTTATTGAATCTGAACCTTTAGCTGTAAATATCTTACAAAGATCATTATATAATTAAGTCATTTTTTCACATAGATACTAAAAAAACTACGCTGTTTCAGAATATGTCAAAAAAATTACAGGGTGTCATTTAAATTTTTGAAACATGGGTGGTTAGGGGTGGTGAATATCACATTAATTTTTCTTAATGACATTCCAACATTTCAAGTCGATATATTTTAAAATACTATATTTGAAGTTTTCACGTGGATTTACGGTATAAATATATTGAGATGAATGTCTTACATTTTTTTCATTTTTGTTTGTATTAATTACTACTTATTGTATATTTTAAAATCAACCGAATACCCAACAAAACTTTGTTTTGAAATAAGAATATTATATAAAGAATCAAAATGCCTACGTCTATGGACCTATAAGCTACTTCTTCCTTGCCTAAGAGCTTCAGCATCTACTTATAATTCTTATTATTAATGCAGTAATTAAGGTAGTTAAATAAGGTACTTATAATAGGTACAACTAGTTATAATAAACCGTTTTTAAGCCAGGAATTATATCCGTTTATTAATTTCCTATCGGAAAATCACGTTACTTCCTTTCCAATCATTGTTACACAATGTCATTGTACCCGACCATAAACCATGTCAGCATACAGCATAAATTGTTTTTAAAATATTTTCTCTAATCGTTTTGTTATTGCGCAAAATAATATACCGGTAATAAACAATTTAAATGCATTTTCAATTTTTAGCATGATTTAATGAAAATATATGTTTTGTAATAAATTGTAGATAAAAGCATCCGCAAAACGTTTTGTTACAGTGTTTATTTAATATTGCAATTTAAACACTGGAATTTTTGGAATAACAATTTTGAGGGAGGTGTCTAGCGCCCTGGAGTTAACCCCAAACAAATGGATTAAAAAAGGTTTAATTTTACTGCCTGGAATTATTGAGAGATAAGATATTTGGAAATATTATAGTCTATTTTTATGTATGAGAGAGTAATAAAACAGCATTTCTAATGCAAAACTTAGTACGGTCATTTTAAATATTTTTACAGAATAATCTAAATATTTCCTAAAATTGTAATAAATGTACCTGAGCTATTACAAGTTTTGGGTCTTTTATCGGTCCTTTATAAACATAAGCTGTACAGAACAATAGAAAATGGCTTGGACAGGCCAAAAGCCCTGTGTATTAAAGATTACATAGCCGTATCTTAAGATTATTTTCAATAAGTACCTATTTGCCAATTTTGTTTTATTTTAATACCACGAATTTCTTACAGTAATCGAATTATAAGTAGATAAATACATTCCCAACAAATTTCACCGAAAATGCGATTATAGGTTTTCCATTTAGTAATCAGGTCCAAGTTGTGTATTCTTGACAGTTTACTAAATGTCGTTTAGTTGCAACTTGCAAGGTGCAGTCTGAATTCTAGTGTGATCATGGAAAATTTGGAAGGGCCGCGTAAACGAC